ACCGAGCAGCAGGCGGCAGCAGTGAATCCGGCAGAGTATGCTAGGGATGTGGTGAAGGCGTTGAAGAGTTTGAAGGAGCTTGTGGGGGACTTGCCAGATAATATAACAGTGAGAAGGGATTGACTTCATCGTACTAGTCCATGAAGAATTGATTGTTATACGTGATATTCATGAGAAAAACCTTGTGGTGCTACTACTATCAATAGGGTAGTAGTAGCAGTAATAGTGATAGTAATAGTGATAGTAATAGTGATAGTAATTGTAATAGTAATAGTAATAGTGATAGTAATAGTGCTAGTAATAGTAATAGTAATAATGATAGTAATAGTGCTAGTAATAGTAATAGTAATAGTAATAGTGATAGTAATAGTGATAATAATAGTAGTAGTGAAGTCCGCGGTTGTTCTCGATTCGTAACTGGGGAACCTAAGGCGGGATACAGAGTGTTGTTGATGATGATGGTGCTTTTCAGGATGAGGAAGTGTCAAGGGAGTCCTCTGAACTGGAGCAGCAGCGAGAAGGGTTACTAAGAGAGCTAGAGGAGGCCGAGCAAGAGGGTAGGAAGATCAAGAGCCGACTAGATGCTCGGATAGGAGAGTTAATACCATCAACGGATGAGGACACCTGAGACGATGATGATAATGACCTCTCACTGCAGTAGAATTCACTACGTTATAGTTCCTTGATCGGGCCGATGGTGTTGGGTTCCTGGGGCCGCCGCTGGTACCGTTTTGTGCTGTTGGTACCAGTGTGGTTAGATTTGCACATGGTCAGCTACATGTGTTGGTGAGAATATGAAAATTCCGAGGAAATTTTGGAAAACTCTTGTTAGTTTCTGCACACTTGTAGTGAATATTCTCCCAATTCTTATATAAACTCCTATGATAAGTGAGGGAAATATTGAGGTCATATTTTGCAGCCCTGGTTGGTAGAAGGGTTGTTGGTTGATTTCAATTTCACAGCTAAAATGTTCTCCTTTGGCGGTCCTCACAACGGAGGGGACGATCCTGTAAACCCTCAGATG